GATTCTGTGTTAGCAGCACTGCGTATTTGAAGTGCTGGATGGCAGGAGGCACAGGTAAAAAGTGCTTTTTTCCTTCCTCGTTCCTTTCCAGACGCTGACCAAAGAAGGGTTTGACTCCATCTCCAGCAGCTCCAAACAGCTCCTCACCTTAGCCCTGCAGGAACTTGAAGTCAAGTCCAGCAGCAATGCCCTGAGCAAGCACATCCAGTTTGAGCACAACGTGGCCCTGTTCCTGTGGTCAGAGAGCTCCGGCGACCTCCCCTCCGACGCCGCTTGGGTCAGCGTGGCAAACCGCGGCCAGTTCGCCAAGAGCGGCCTGTCCATGAAGGCCCAGGCGCTCACACCATGCGTACAGAGCTTCTGCTCGGCTCTGGACTCGAAGCTGAAGGCCAGGTTGGACGATCTCCTGTCCTACCTCCCCACAGACTCCTCAGCCATTAAAGAGGCCGTTCCCGTTCAGCCACGTTCTGCTTTCGACCGCTACGCCGACGCCGGCACCGTGGAGGGGCTGCTCCGCGACCACTGCGTCGCCTGCATCCACCACGTGCTGGGCTGCGTGCGTGAAGAGCTCCAGAGCGCCCAGAGCCTGCTGGGGGGACAGGCGGATGCTCCCAGCGATGCCAGACTCAATGCTGTCCTCTTCATGGCGAGGCTTTGCCAGTCCCTGCCCGAGCTGTGCCCTCACCTGAAGCAGAGTATCCTGGGCCGGTCGGGCAGCGCGGAGACGGCGCTGAAGGAAACTCGCTCCGCCAAGAAGCTGGGGAAGGGGAAAGCCCAGGAGGTGACCCCCGTGCAGGCCAAGTGGCAGGGGGTGAAGGCAGAGCTCCTGCAGCAGAGCTTGTTTGCTTATCAGATCTGGAGCTCGGCTGTCACCAAAGTAAGGAGCTGCTTCGCTCTCGTCACAGCCACTTCCTGCGTGGGTTTGGCTCGCTCAGCGCCCTGTGGTCAGCGCTGCTGAGAGCTCTTGGGGGCTGCCACGCTGCCCCATCAGCTTGCAGGGACAGGAGAGGGTGGCAGCTCGGAGGTGGCATTGGGATGGTGTTGGGGAGGAGCAGGGGGATGCGGGAGGTTGGTGACTCCAAAGGCTGCGCAACCTTTGATGCTCCCCTTAGAGCTGTCTGCTTTTGTGCTCTAGGGCCTGGTTCAGTGCTTTACCCGCACGCTGCTGCTCGACACAGCCGGGTCGGTCTTGGCCGCAGCCACCAACTGGGATGAAATTGAAATTCAGGAGGAGACAGAGTCTGGAAGCAGTGTAACATCAAAGATCCGGCTGCCTGTGCAGGTACGAGCAACGTCCTGTCGGTAAACACGCAGAAACAGTCTGCTGGGAGGAGAAAAGTGCTGGTTTCCTAAACCACTGCTCCGTCAAACAGTGCTGACCTGCCATGGTTCGCTTGGGGTTATGAGCAGAGGGCAGACGCTCTGCGGTGCTCTTACTTGTCCTTTGAAACACTCACCTCCTAAGGACCGAGGTCAGAGGAAGGAAATTAGATACTTGCTGCTATTTATTCAAGTAAATTAAGATTGGCCCAAGGCTTGTAAAACAGAGCCAAAGGAGGTCTTCTGCCTGGTTTGCACACACAGGCCCCCAGGAGAGAGATCCCGTGGAAAGGGGATGCACTGAAGGACAGGGCTGCAGCAGTGGGACTGTGCACAGCCTAAGAGAAGCGTGGCTTGCAGCTTTCCATAGGTGTAGGGGTGCAGGACTGACACAGTGGCAAAGGAGGTGGCAATCCCACAGCCAGGGCAAGAGTTCTGTGTTTGCAAGTACAGGAGGAACTGGACAGGGCAATAGTCTCCTGTAGTGACCCTTTTAAGGTGAATTTTGCTGATTCTAAAGGAAAAAGCAGGCAGATGATAGCTGGGAGGCCCAGGAGAAGAGCGAGGGGTAAATAATGAGCCCAGGGTGGTCAGAGCAGGGTCAGCGGTGCCAGAAGAGGCACAAGACGCAGTTCTGTTCATACACTCAGGTGAACACCTCTGGTGAAAGCACTTGTGGGACTCTGCTGTAACCAAAAGTCTGGTGTGTGAGTAAATAAACCCCGTGAGATACTTGAGCCGTGCTGCGGGGGCAGGTGGCTCTCAGCAGCGGAGCTTTGCGGTTGCTGAGGAAGTAGGAGGCTCATCACAAGAACTGAAGTGATGCTGTGCTGCTGATAAAGCAGCCACAGCTCACAGACCACGTGAAAATAACACCACTTCTTCTTCAACAGCCGTCCTGGTACGTCCAGTGCCTCCTCTTCAGCCTGTGCCAAGAAGTGAACCGGGTCGGCGGCCACACTCTGCCAAAAGTCACCTTGCAGGAGCTGCTGAGGACCTGCATGGCAGAAGTGCTTGCTGCCTACGAAAAGCTGATGGAAGAGAAGCAGGAGAAGGTACAGGAGTGGGATCAGCCCTCAGCGTGGGCCAGGAGGGTTGCTGGGCACGTGGCAACGCGTACGCTCCTGTCCCTCGGAACAGGAAGCGTCTGCCTGTGAGAGCTGGAAAGGATGAGTGTGTTCTCCCCCTGTCTCCTCCAAAAATGAGGCAAAAAGGGATCAGACTCCAGATTACTGCTCGGAGCAGTTCACTTGGGTTGGTTGTTTCTTGGTGCTGGTGTTTTCAGATGTTTCCCCTGAAGCAGAGCCCTGTTCCTCACTGTCTGTTTGCAGAAAGCCGGCACCTTCCCCATGACCCAGAACAGGGCTCTGCAGTCACTGTACGACCTGCGGTACCTGAGCATCATCTTGAGGGCGAAGAGCGAGGAAGCAAAAAGCAGCAGGATCAAACCTGACTCCGGGTACGGTGCGGTTCTGGGGTTCAGACACCAGCAGTAGTTTGGGGGGGCCCTAAAATGGTTTAAACCAAGAGCGTTGCTGGCTGTCAGGAGGATGCCTGCAGGAGCAGGGAAGTGCAGACTCTAAGCTCTGACACCTTTCCCAGTGCTAAGCTCATCCTGAAAATGCAGCAGGGGTGGATTCTGCAGCTGAGAGCTCAGAGGCAGCGAGCTGGTCCCCAGGGATGCAGTCAGGATGCCCCTGGAGAGAGCTGTTAAGCTTCCACCAAGAGTTAAAACCTTGTGTATGTCCCGGTCTTGAGCACTGCAGCACCTGAGAGGTACCACAGGGAGAAGGTTCCTGTGCAAGAGCAGACAGCGTGGGCACTGCCATCACTGGAAACCCTTCAGGCAGCTGCTGTTGTGCTGAGTAATTCCCATTCTGCTCAGTCACCTCTTAGGGGCAGTTCCCCGCTGTTTCAGTGAGCCCTGCTGGCACCAGCAGCTGGCACCAGGACGTAAGCCCTGACAGGATCCTCTGCTCTGCTCGCAGGATGGAGAAGGTGACCGATTTCCTGGAGGGACACATCGATCCCTTCGACCTGGACGTTTTTACTCCGCACTTGAACAGCAACCTTAACCGCCTGGTTCAACGAACCTCTGTGAGTTCAGGGGAAAGGAAGGGATAGATCAGGAAGTGAGGCTGCAAAAGTGTGGTTTGCAGGGCAGCTGGGGTGGCTTTGTAAAGTGCTTAATGCCTAAAGATAACTACTGGCACTGGCTCAGAAATGGAAGAGTATTTAATGCCAGCTGAAGATAAGAGGAGCTCACTAAGCTGGCTGCACGGCACGTAACCGTGCGTGGAGTTGGCTGGACTTTATCTAACAGGATTCACTGGAGCCTGTGCAGTGCTAATTGGGTTAAGCAGTGCTGAAACAGGCCTAGAACTCGACTCTGGTAGTAACGAGCAGCGCCAATTAAAAGCAAGAGTTCGAGGGGGAAGGGAGCCGCTCTGTGTTCAAACTTCAGTCACTGGTGGTGTGCTGCAGACTCCCCGGCGGCATGGGGTGCTGTCTGCTCTGCAGCTGCCCCCAGCTACAAACGGCTCCTTGTGCCTTCCAGGTTCTTTTTGGGTTGCTGACCGGGACGGAGAACCAGTACACGAGCAGGAGCGGCGCTCCGAGCTCCCAGGAGCTCCACAACATCTTGCCCTTAGCATCCAGCCAGATCAGGTAGGGTACTCGGCTCCTCTCTGCCTTCTTGTGTCTCTTTGGGAAGCGGGTCTAGAGCTGCTCCTTCCCTGCAACCTGATGCATTTCTTTCCTCCACCTCTCAAGATTTGGACTTCTGCCGCTCAGTATGTCGAGCTCGCGGAGGAGCAAGTCTGCTACCAGGAGCACGGAGAGAGTTCAGGTTGGTAAATTCAAGCTCTATTCGTTTTTTTTGCCAGTGCTCATTCTCCCACCAACACTTGAGGATACAGGGAAAGAAGCAAGCAGCCAAACAGTTCATGTTTAACCTGGGTTTTATTTTCGGTAAAAGGAGAGAACCGTTACGGCAACACAGCATGAGGTGGTTTGGATTTCCCCTTGACCCTCAAAAAAAACCACAACCAACCAACAACTGATGGCCCCTGTACCTTTGGGCCCTGCTGCTCTGTGATAAAACATAGGCAATAACCACCGTGAAAATGCAGTGAAGATTTACTAACATCAGGAAATCAATGCAGAAAAGACAATTCATTTCAAGACAGCTGCAAGAAACCTTGAAGGATACTGGCTAATTATTTGAACTCCTTTCCAGTGCGATGCCGACCTTTAACTGCTGACGAAGCCTGGCTTGGGTATTTCAGCCTGTGTGAACAGAGTGGCTTGCTTCTCTTGCAAAGGCTCTGCGTTGTCCTGTCTGAGTTGTATCAGTAGACAACCATTATGTTGCTCTGTTTCCTCCGGTTTAAAACGCCTGCTTCAATGGAGTTCTCTATGCTGAGGATTGAGAGCCAAGGAACACCTCACTGCTACAGGAAGCAGTAATTAGTAAGCTGTTTCCTTCAGCTATTATTAACCCAATAATCCATCTGTGGTGATGGCTTTTCGACTGGGACAGAATAACAGAGGCCTGGTTTTACCAGAGCGTTACTCAAGATGCCGATGTTCGCTCCACAACTCTTGTTCTCCGTTATCCAGAAGCATTAAGGACCGGACACAGCCTAAGGGTTGTTTCAAAGCCCAAAGCTGCCCAGTGAAGGTTTTCCTTACCTCTCGCACCTCAGCTGTAGCAGAGTGAAGTGTGCAGTGATGTTTGGCTGGCTCCTACCGCTCCCCTTTACTGGCTGTGCTAGCCACACATCTCAGAATTCTTCCCAGATACCTGCTTGTGAATATCTTGCAGATATTTAATGCTAAAACAGTTCAGGAGAGGTTAAAGTCCGTGGTTACTGCAGACCAGCTCTCTGCTGTACCTTGGCCATGCTGTTATCCCCTTGCTCCAATCATCAGATTTTGTTTGGGTTCTTTCTGAGCCTGGAAACCCACCTGAGAAATTCTTGTTGCCAGCAGCAGCAAGGCGCTACGCTGCTGCCGCTGCCCGTCGCTAATCCCCAGCAGCGACAGCGCACAGCTCGCAGCTCCAGCTCGAGCTGCCTGGGAAGAGCTCTGTTCTGCTGTAGCTGACACCTCCTCGCAGCCACTAGAGATGAGGCTATGGAGCCGTAGGTGTGCTGCCGCAGCTCCTGACGCTTTTCTTTTCAAAAACTTAACAGGTTGCACCTCCCGCGCTCACGAGAGCAGAAGACGAAGCCTCGCGCCCTGGCGCTCTGTTCAGGCAGCTCGTGACCGAGGAGGAAGACGCAGCCGCACCTTCTCTCTTCAAGCTGGGATGGCTTTCTGGCATGGCCAAGTGATGCAATAAAAAGTAAAACGTTTGTCTGCGTATTCGTCTTCAGCTGGGCAGGGACTGGTGGTACTGCCAGAAGAGAAGTACTTTTCCATCCCCAGCCAGGTCATAGGAACCGGCCACAGGTCAGGATTGTCCTTGCCAGCTGGACCAGAGCCGTAGCTGCTCTTTCACCTCTTAGTCCTTAGACACTGTTAACCTTAAAGTCAAATTAAAGGGGAAAAAAACCCCAACAACCTACGCACTGTAACAGAAAAGAAAACATTTCGCAGCTGGAAATGGGTGTTCTCTCCCAAAGCTGCTCTGTACTTGTCTCCACAGGCACCACCACTGCTCTCCAAGTGGGTGCCTGACGTCTTGCCCAAGCTTTTCTGCTTCCAGTTTCATGTTTTTTTGGTCAGTACCGCAGCTGTAAAGACCAAGCAAGATTCAAGGTCACTGCACACACCAAGCTGGGTGAAAAGTCTGCAGCTGGGGCAGCGCTAAGGGAGCGCAGTGACAGCACCTGCTCTGCGCTGTCGTTAAACACTAAATGCTCAAACAAATTATGTTGCCAAATAAATTTTGCACTAGTTTATTGAAATTAAAAAAAAAAAAAAACTTAGAAAACTGAACATGAACATTTGAGAGAACTTTACATAAAGCAACAACTCGCTAACAAACAGATTAGGCAGTCAACTGGAATTGGACATTTTGCAATCCTATAAACACAGCTGTGGATTCCTCCCTCTCCTCTTGACACAAACTTTTCTAACCGCCCCAAAAAGAATCCTATAAAAATTGCTTCCAAGCCCCTTTTGCATTGCAATAGTGCAGCAAACCACAAGTAAACAATTTCCTGTTAACCTTTTATTTCAAATATAGACTGAAAAGGCAACAGGCGTTTTTTTGTGCAATTCCATTTTAACAAACTTTTAAATTGAAATATCAAATCTACACAGTGCTGTCCCTTCACAGAAGGCAGGGATCCGCTGGCTCATCATGTGGGGAGGCGTCCCCGGCTCTGTAAGCTGTGGAAGTGAGCTTCCTTCAGGATCTGGTTGATGTAGAAGTAGGGACCTTGGCTTAGCGCTGACTGCTCGTGGAAGGACTGCGAGGAGCCGGGGCTGGACCCAGCAATGCTGGGGTTTAGGCTGGATTCTGCACCGCATGCTCTGTCGGGGCTTTGCGCCCGCGCGCTGGGCGCCCCTTGCGGCTGCCGCTATCGCTGCTGGAGGACTGAGACAAAGAGAAGGTTAACAGCAAAACCACCCAGCTTTCCCTCCACGTCCACGACAACGCACCTCAGGAAAGCAAACCGTCTTTGCAACAAGTCCCTCCCTTCCAGATTCGCAGGCTCACGCTCAGCTCGATGGACTAAGAAAACCCACCGCGTGCTTTGTCGCCGTTCGCAGCTTCCGTCAGCGGCCGACGCGTGAAGCGCGGCGCAGAGCCGAAGGGACGAGCGAGCCTTCACCCCGAGGTTCGCTGACCTCCGGCGCACTGGATTTCAATCGTGCGGTTTTCAGCCCCGCCAGCTCTGCCCCCGTGACCCACGTCAGCACTAGTGAAGTTTGCCCGTTCCATCCGAGAATTGGAAAATAAAGACGGCTCCTGCTGAGCTGCGCGTGTCAGGACAGGCAGGCAGGGCAGGAGGAGAAGCTGATCACTTCTGGTCTAGCAGACGTTTTTAGGTAAGCACCATGCAAAGCATTTTCCTACGGGTCAATCTCAATGAGATCTGAAGCATCCAAAGCAACAGGCTGTGAAAAGTCAAAGGCGACACGATACCCATTTTAAGTCTTTGAACACCTCGACGGACGTACAACCACTCCTCTCCCAGTTAAGTACTGGGACTGCGGTGTCAGCTTGTGTTATTTTCCATTAAAATTTACTTGACAGTGCAAGAGCAACAGGCATTGAGGACTTCCACAAGCAGACCGCTCGTGATTTAGCTCATATAAAGGTCAGGGCTCATTTGCCAGCGTTTCGGATAAACACGGTTCGTGGTAATGAACTGAAGAGCTTTAGCCATCATTGTCAGTGTTTCAAAGACATAAAACTGTTTGGTTTACACCATTTGAAGGGCTGTTAATGAAAGGTTTCCGTTAGTTCCAGCTGAAATATTTTTCATTACTGTGCGATATGCTGTTCAGGACAACACTGCAAATGTTGAGGTGCTTAAGGATCAGAGAACAGCTGCTTTGCCATCCCCTAAGGAGTAAATTCCCAGAAGCAGCCAGCGTAAGTGACAGCAGCTAAAAAACTGCTGAAGTAAACCACAGAAGGCAAAGCTTGGTGGCCGCAGCAGAGGAAGGCAGATTTAAAAACCACCACGGTAATGTAACAGCACCACATCCAGAAGGCCTCGCTTCGGACTACATCTGAACAACGGTGCCGAGTAAAAATAACCCCGAATCCCCTTGTTTTGCAAAGCACCACAAAAACGGCTCGGTTCTGGCGTAGCACAGCAAGCAAGACAACGGCGCCGAGCTGCGCCCGCGCTGGCTCAGCAAGGAGAAACCAGAGCGCACGTGAAGGCTGAAGAAGCAGCAGACGGAGCTGCAGGAGCGAGCAGCTCCTCTTCCTCACGCTGCCACCGCCACGGGGGGACAACAGCACCCGAGGGACAGAGAGGAGCCACAAAAGGGCATTTGCCAGCCCGTCTCGCTCTGCATAGAAGCACAGGTATTGAAATGCAATGCGGTTACGCTGAGCAAAGTCCCAGCAGCCTTGGAGAGAAACCCACCGCACAGGACACTTTGTTTCCTTTTAGTCTGTGTTCCTTACTGTGTTTCCTTACAGCCACCTTCTGAAAATCAAGGTAAAAAAAAATCAAAATGAGAACCTGGCCTTATTTACCGCTGAAGTTTCACATCTTAACAAACGTTTTCGAGCTGTTAGTAATGATTATTTGATGCGTGTCTGCTTTTGGTTTTTTGTTGTTTTTAAAGCTGAGACAGTGTCCTGGGACGTGCTTCCTACACCTAAGGCTGTGGACAGACCCGGTTGGTCAAACCCTCTTTATTTCCATTTCTCTGCTGCAAAAATTCACTAGCACGTGAAGCCCGTGTATTGCCCAAGCCACCAATCGAAGACCTACCATTTCCCCAGGCTGTGGTGCACTTTCTGTTACGCATTTGGACTACAATTAGACAAAAAAAGAATCCTTAAAGTCATCATGTCAGCAACGACAGGCATCTACACAATGAAACAAAGGTTTAAACCAACGGGCAAAGGAAAGCAGCCCAATGAAAGCTTATGGGCCTTTGAAGTATTCAAATGACATCTTAAACCTCTCTTAAAAATCACACCGAGTGGCTATGGAAGTCTTAAATAAGTTTCCAAACAAGTGACCCCTTAAATGTGTGACTCTGCTGGTCTGTGAGGTAGCATCTCAGTAACTTGTGACTTAAAGAGCTGTTCAGACCCTGCTGCTGTCCAAATCTTTCAAGATGAGTTCACCAGAGGCATAATGTGGTTTTAATTAGAATTTAAGTGGTGTCATAATGTGGAGTGGCATGGCTGCAACGCTAGACAGAATCTTATCTGAGAGAAGGAACTGGTGCCGTGTGATCTCTGCCGGTACAAGAGCGGCACCTCTGAGCTCTGGGGAATCCTGTCACCCGTCAGGACAACAAAGAGGAACCACAAGAGATGAGCTTTGACAGAAAAGGGTTATTCAGGAAGGAAGAGAGCTTGTCAGAACACTGCAGACTCCCTTCCTTCCCAGGGAAAATCAGAGCAAAGGGCTTTTTGTTGGTGATTCCCCAGGTTGCAGAGCCCAGCTCTCCCAATTGCAGTTTTCAGAGGATCCACTACAACTCTGCTGGTGCGGGCCAGCAACCAAGGGAGAACAGGAAAAGCTTCTGCTGGGTTTATAGGTGAGAAAAAGCTGATAAAGACTGAAGAGAATCTGTTTCCCTGCTGTACAAGTCAGTCACAGTAAAGGATGCTGTGTACCCCGGATGAAAAGTGATCTTGTGGGAGAAAACAGCAAGAGCTTTTTGCATCAAATCCAGCTCAGGTGAGGAGCAGGATTCAAAGTGTAGGACTATGGGGTAACATCACAGAGCAGCTCATGTTTGACCTGTCACTGAGAAAAAAAAAATCATCATCTTACAGATACGGCTGTCAGCTATAGAAAAATCAGACAAAAAAGACTTATTGGAAAGAGATCCTGACAAAAGTCAAGTCCAGTTTTAGAAATTTGCCTGATTTTCATACTGGGGTTATGGCTTCAAGTAAAGCACACTCTGTAAGAGAAAAGAGCCAACTTCCAGCTGAAGGAAGGCAAAAGGAATCGGTATTTTATGGCTGAGGTTCCACAAAGAGCAGGTGTGTGTACGCCCTCAGATGAAAAGCAATTCTCTTCTCACACAGCCTTTGAAGTTATCAATTGCTCCTCTGCTCTCTCTCCCAGCTCAATATCCTAAAGCCAGGGAGGATTTTTAATCAGCAGGAGCTGCCTTTGCAAACGACCGAGTATCGGGACACTAAATAAAAGCATTACAAATGGCCAAGCGTTTCAAAGCGACATCGATCGGAAGCACTTGTGCACCACAAGCACAAGAATTTCTCCATTTGGCACAGGAAGTCCTTAGAGAAACATTTGAATAACACTGATTTAATCTCCTGGCTTGAATTTCTGAGCATGCTCAACTCAGTGAGCCCTCATTACAAGAAAACAAGCGGAAAAACAAAACCAAGCTCCGTTCAGCAGTGGACAACGCTGTGATTTTTTTTTTTCCCCTCCGCTTCAGAAAGGGAGCATGGATTTTTTTTTTTGCTGTGTCCAGCAGGAGCATTTCTCTGCTTCAGTGTCACCAGGAAGAGATCCTCGTCCCCAGGAAGAGATCCTCCTCGCCTGCACAGCAGCGTGTGACGTGTTAAAACCATCTTTTCACAAGGCCAGTGCATGCAGGCAGCGGGAGTCTCGGTGTTAGCCTCAGCAACTGAGCCCTGTGCTGATGCTGCCGGTGGCGGGCAGGCAGTTCAGGCCATGCTGTTCACTCGCAGGCACCCCAGACAAAACGGCCGTGAAGGGCAGAGTTAAGGTCAGCCACTCGTGCGCGGCTCCTGCGCTGCCATTTCCACGTCTGCATTTTAGTGGCTTTGCTCTGGCGCCAAGTGTTTTTAGGACAAGCAAAGGTGCTTCTGCCACTCACCATGAAGGTTTTTTTAATTGTCATTACTCCTACTTCAATCCCTCGTTCCACACTAAATTCTTCCTCCTCCCGCCACAAAGCTCGTTTAGTCATTAACTACTCTACACACGAAGAGGTGTTTAACCTGTTGGACAAGTGATTCAGTGTCAGATGGCAAGCAACTATTTATGGTTCTACCCGTTATACCCGAGAAGCAAACCCAACTTCATCCCAGCCAGTCTTACTTCTGGCAAAAGAGAAACACAGGAACGTGGTTTTTTGTCATCACAGCGAATTCCTTTGGGGTGAACACCTCGGCTGTCAGAGCTTTTTTCATACAATATTGCTGAAGGTGAACTGGTGTCCCTCCCGAAAGGGATGGCAGGACACAGAGCTCTGTAGCATTTTAAATGTACATTTGAGGCCGTTACCATAGGATACGTTGCTCCAAGTTACACAGCACAGAATATTTCCTGCAGTCAAAGTACAGTTAACAGTTGAATAGAACTGCAATAGTTGGGATTACTCATTACAGCCAATCTTCGGAGTGAGAGGGCTGTAAACAAACCAAGAATATTTCAAGATTTCATTTCATTAACTCCCAGGGATGCAAAACAAGTTCAAGAAGGACAGGAACTGCGGGAGAGAGTCCAGCGTAGGGCTACAAAGATGATGGAGGGAGTGGAGCATCTCCCTTCTGAGGAGCGGCTGAGGGAGCTGGGTCTCTTTAGTTTGCAGAAGAGGAGACTGAGGGGAGACCTCATTCATGTTTGTAAATATTTAAAGGGTGAGTGTCACGAGGATGGAGCCAGGCTCTTCTCGGTGACAAACAATGATAGGACAAGGGGTAATGGACACAGACTGGAACACAGGAGGTTCCACTTCAATTTGAGAAGAAACTTCTTCTCAGTGAGGGTGACAGAGCACTGGAACAGGCTGCCCAGAGAGGTTGTGGAGTCTCCTTCTCTGCAGACATTCAAAACCCCCCTGGACGCCTTCCTGTGTAACCTCATCTGGGTGTTCCTGCTCCGGCAGGGGGATTGGACTGGATGAGCTTTGGAGGTCCCTTCCAATCCCTGATGTTCTGTGAAACCAGGAGGGAGCCTCTGCTCTGCACGCCTTTTTTCCATGAAGATTTTTGCAACAGAGCCGCGTTGCTAATTAGAAACGCATACAGTGGATTTTCAGGTGATTAAGGCAGGCAACAACTCAGGAAATCTGGCAGCAGTCTGGAAATCAGCAATTTTTTTTTTTAAAAAAAAGACATTTCATAGGTAGCAAACTCCACCATTCTAGAACACTTGCCATGAGAAAACGAGACGGTTTATCCCGTGATCAGCAAAAGATCACAGCAAATACGAGTAGAAACCCGATTGTTTTGGTTCAAGTGTTTTGGCTGTGATTGAGCGAGTCTTGCTTCAACTGATGTCCTCCAGCAGAGCATTTTCCTTTGGGTATCGCACCGCCTGGGATGCTTTTGGACTTGCTACCAGAAATATTCACGTTGCTGTAGGTAAATGCAAAGCTGGAGGAGCGCACGGCCAGGCAGGGCGACCACGTGCACTGGCGAGCCAGCCCAGGCACCTCCTCGGTTCTGGTTACGTTGTGCCTCATTTCAGAAAACAAAAATAAAAGCGGCAGCAAATCCTTTTCTTGTGTTTTTTCCTTGTGTATTTGAAATACACAAAGAAAAATATTCAGGCCAAAGCTAACCAGGTTCCCTGGAAAACAAGTTGATTTCCCAACCCCTGATGTCAACCTTTGAAATACTGAACGGGGTCACCCTCGTCACCTCACACACAAAGCAAAACCAAGTGGTTTCCTTAACTGCTCTCCGTGAACGCAACTTCCCAGGATATTCCAACCGTTATTTTAATCCAGCATTAAAGGAAATGGAATTTGCCCGAGAAGGCTCTCACCTCAGTGTCCCACGAGTCCTGAAGGACAGTATTCCTGGTGCTACGTTTTGCCTGGGGAGTGTATCCCTCATCTTCATTGCCATTCCGTCTCCTCTTCCTGGCAAAAGTTCAGGGAGAAAAGAGGACAAAAATATTAGTGGCACAACGATACATCTTCTGTTTCGTTCTCTGAAGGCGACTCCACAAGAAAAGCAGGAAAACTTGATAAATTAACGCAGGATTTATCTAAACCTCCGATGTGCTGTGGACTTCCATATTCTGTTTTTTTTAGCTGTCCTCTACAGAACAAAGAGGAAATGATCCCATTTCTCACAAACAGCCAGGTTGATGTTTTCGTATCAGTTCCAGGGATGTGGACTCACACCCACCAGTAACATCAGGGCTGAGCATCTCCCTAAATAAACTCATTTGACAATTCTCAGCCTTGCGCCTGCCCTCAGTACCCAGGCGCATCTAAAAATAAGCCTGGGACTTCGAATGACATCTGAGAGGCTGAGAAAAGCCCCCGTGCGGAGCGGCAGTGACCGCACTTCCAAGAAATACCCAGCCACGCTCATCCTGCTCACATGAGCCTGCAGTTCGTGCCTACGAGGACTTTCTTTAGTGTCTGCATCCTGCCAGCATCTGAAGTCAAGTCACGTCCCCAACCAACGTTATCTTCCATGTGGAAAGCAAGTTTTGCTGGGAAACACCCAGTGGAAGGCCAATGTTTCCCTGTTTCCACGGTGTGCGGAATCCTCTTATAACAGCGACGCTGCTAGGCAGCACCCGAGCAACAACAACAAACCCCTGCAAACCAACATCTCTCACTGTCCACAGGATTTTAATGCTAATATCAGATTATTTTTCCCCACCATTTGTCAACCAGGACCTGTCAACACAGGGAACTACCCAAAATATAGGATGGAGCTGTTTTGGTGGCTAAAAATTAATGCGTATGAGCACACTCGAATGAGTCAAAACAGACCCAAGAGAAGTATTTATAACTGAATCTTTTCTTACAAGCAAGCTTCAGCAGCAGACTCAGCTGCCAGTAGCTGCTCCACGCCTACAGACCAGGAGCTGCCTCCTGGCTCTCCCACCCCCGGGATGCCCACAGCACTCTCAGCCGTGTCCACCCCAGTCCATCGGCTTCTCCCTCCCCTAGGGCCACTCTTTTTAGGAGACACATTCACCCCTTCGCTCCACATCTGTATATCCTCTAAAACCTTTCCTTCCTTAATATCTGCAGCCCACAGCGAAACTCAGTGCCTCCGTCCCCCAGGTCTCCCCCGTCCCCTCACAACTCCGGGCACCCACATCCC